CCAATTTGTCTTTGACCTTCTGCTTGCCCCATGTCGGTTTCCGTTTAACTGTGAGCACCCTGAGAGCAGGGACTGCTCTAAGCATTTGTTGAATGGATCCGTTTCTTTCCTTTCTCTTTAGTTTCCTTCTTTCAAAATATCCTAGAAAGAGAAGCCTCTTTTGGTACATAATTTTTCTAAATTAACTGTTAAATAATTCCTGCTAAGGCATAACCCCAAACCAATACGTTATCATTAAGATATCCTGTATCTTTATTCCCTAGCCCAAATGGCTGTCTCCACCTCCATTTTCCTCTCCTCACCCCCTGGTTGTGCTGGATTTCACAACAGGAGATCTGCTGGCTCTTCACCAGCTGTTCCCCCTGACTGGGTTTCACCTGTTCAAGGTGAGCTACTACATTAGAATAGTACCACGTACTAACACGACTGACACACTTCATTCATGCATTCAGGTTCCTGCCCAACTGTGACCTCTTTAGAGTGGCCTCCCCTGACCTCTCTATTGATTTATTTATAAATTTATTTATTTTTGGCTCCGTTGGGTCTTTGTTGCTGCACGCGGGCTTTCTCCAGCTGCAGCGAGGGGGGCTACTCTTTCATTGCGGTGTACAGGCTTCTCACTGCGGTGGCTTCTCTTGTTGCGGAGCTCGGGCTCTACGTGTGTGGGCTCAGTAGCTGTGGCTTGCGGACTCTAGACCGCAGGCTCAGTAGTCGTGGCGCACGGGCTTAGTTGCTCCGCAGCATGTGGGATCTTCCTGGACCAGGGCTCAAACCTGTGTCCCCTGGACTGGCAGGTGGATTCTTAACCACTGCACCACCAAGGAAGCCCCTGACCTCTCTATTTAAAACAGCAGCACATCATTCTCTATCCTCTTACACTGCTTTATTTTTGTCACCACACATTACTCTCCCCTATGATATTTAATAACTATTTTCTTATATTCTGCTTTCCCTTCTGAACTGTAAACTGCATGAGGGCAGGGACTTTATCTTGATTACTGCTGTAATCCCACACCTACAACAGGAGTTGGCACAGAGGAGGCTCTCAAATATTTGTAGAATCAACTGCAAGTCAGAGGGCCGAGGGCCTTTTTTAACATTCAGGGGAGGTAAATCTCCCTGCCACGACTTAATGAGACTGAAGACAGACAAAGAGGCAGGAGAGAAAAGAGAACAAAAACAAAATTCAAAATGTAAATTCAAGGGAAGAATACTTAACAAAGTCTTGGGTTTTCTCTCTCACTCTAGGCTTAAGGGATAAGGACTAAAATGTAAAAATGCTCCAATTTTTTGGTTTGAACTGGTGACAACACAAAGAGAAAAGAATTTGTACGAAATTTCAACAATCAAGATGCTTCTACTGTTTTTAGTTTTGAAAGTACCAAAAGTGCAAAACGAAAGTTAGGACTCTGCAAGGTTTCACTTAGATTAAATACTCTATTTATTATTTGACTAGATGCACAATATCCATCTAAAGTCAAAGTTAATTTACACAACTAATACTGATCTCCTCACCAATAGCCCTGCCCTTTCCAAGGTCTACTTCCTAGTTTCCTTAATCTAGCCTGGTCTCACAGGACAGCAGATAAGGTATCACTGAAACACTGACAGAGGGGGAAAAACTTATCTCAAAAAGAAAAAACATTTTTTTACAAAGTTACTTTTAATACTTTTAGGTGAGCCCCACAGAAATAAAAAACACTGGGAAAAGGTAACCCCCTCACCTCCAGGAGTGGCCCAGGGGAAGACTGGCTACCTGAGGGGAAGGAAACACATAAGAGACCCAGTGCAGACACAGGGAAAGGGAATGTCACTGGGGCTGGGAGCTGTGATCACTACAGGAGAAAATGTGAGCACAGTGGGACTGGCTCCAGGCACACAGGCAAAGGGCAAAAGGGTTGGATATGAAGCCACAAAGCTTCCAGAACTAGAACAAATAATTTTAAAATGTGTATGGAAACACAAAAGACCCCAAATAGACAAAACAATCTTGAGAAAGAAGAACAGAGCTGGAGGAATCAGGACCCCTGACTTTAGACTATACTACAAAGCTACAGTAATCGAAATGGTATGGTACTGGCACAAAAATAGACACATACATCAATGGAACAGAACAGAGAGCCCAGGAATAAACCCCCACACTTATGGTCCATTAATCTATGACAAAGGAAGCAAGAATAGACAATGGGGAAAAGACAGTCTCTTCAATAAGTGCTGCTGGGAAAACTGCACTGCTACATGTAAAAGAATAAAATTAGAACATTCTCTAACACCATATACAAAAATAAACTCAAAATGGATTAAAGATGTAAATGTAAGACTGGATACTATAAAACTCCTTGAGGAAAAAATTGGCAGAACACTCTTTGACATAAATCGCAGCAATACGTTTTCGGATCCATCTCCTAAGATAAAGGAAATAAAAGCAGAAATAAACAAACGGGACCTAATTAAACTTAAAAGCTTTTGCACAGCAAAGGAAACCACTGATAGAAACAGGAAGACAACCTGCCAAATGAGATATAATATTTGCAAATGATATGACTGATCAGTGATTAACATCCAACATATATAAACAGCTCATACAACTCAACATCAGAAAAACAAACAACCCAATTAAAAAATGGGCAGAAGAAATGAACACTTTTCCAAAGAGGAAATGCTGACGGCCAACAGGCACATGAAAAGATGCTCAACATCCCTAGTCATCAGTGAAATGCAAATCAAAACCACAATGAGACGTCACCTCACACCTGTCAGAATGGCTATCACCAAAAAAAACACAAATACTGGGGAGGATGTGCAGAAAAGGGAACCCTTGTACGCTGCTGGTAAGAATGTAAACTGGTGCAGTCACTGTGGAAAACAGTATGGAGATTCCTCAAAAAACTACCATATGGCCCAGCAATTCCACTCCCGGGTATATAACTGAAAAAAACCCAGAAACACTAATTCAAAAAGATACATGCACCCTAATGTTCACAGCAGCATTATTTACAATTACCAAGATATGGAAACAACCTAAGTGTCCATCAACAGATGAATGGATAAAGAAGATGTGATATATATACACACGATGAAATACTACTCAGCCTTAAAAAAAGAAAGTTTTGCCATTTGCAGCAACACGGATGGATTTGGAGGGCATTAGGGTAAGTGAAATAAGTCAGAGAAAGACAAATCCTGCAAGGTATCACTTACACGTGAAATCTAAAAGATATAACAAACCAGTGAACATAACAAAAAAGCAGCAGGCTCACAGATGTGGAGAACAAATTAGTGGTTACCAGTGGAGGGCGGAGGGGCAATACAGGGGTGGAGGAGTGAGAGGGACAAACTACTGGGTGTAAGATAGGCTCAAGGATGTGTTGTACAACACAGGGAACAGAGCCAATATTTTGTAATAACTGTAAATGGAAAGTAACCTTTTAAAATTGTATAAAAACATAAAAAATAAATTTAAAAAAATAAGAAATTGTCAGGGAGGCCTACTAAGTTTTCAGCTTGAACGTACGGTTTTCGCTTGTTTATGGACCCTAAAAGATATTTAGGTCATAAATATCCTAAGTATGCTCTACAAGTAAATTCCAGTAGAGCTCACTCATCATACAGAAAAGAAATTTGTAAAATGCAAAACCCAACAGGTGTTACAGAGCACTATATATCTATAGCACTCTTTCCTCAGCTCCATTTACAAAACCCTAAAAAAACAAAACAGACCAAAAAAATCCTAACCTGTTAAGTTAAATGCCCTGTAACACTGCACTCTCATTAAATCATTTAAATAGTATCTTAATTCCATTCAGGTCACACAAACAGCCTTCTCAAAGAACTTGTGGCTTCTCTAATAGAAAAGGATTTTAAGAGACAGTTACCAGAATAAAGAACTCCAATTATAACAGTGAGATTGCTTTGAGGACTGCCAAATAAGTTTCTGTACTTTCTACTTCTAAGTTAAGGCACAGAGCCATCTCAGAATTGCAAATATTCAACTATTCTTTAAAATATTGCATAAGAAAGCAACTGTCTTTGGGGAGAAGTGGTAAGAAAAAAACTCCCAACGTAGTTAAAAACCAAAAACGACTATTACCTCATCTTTAAAACAGCCTTCTAGGCTTCTTTACATGTCCTAGGGCAAGCCCTTAAAAAAGAAAACAAGAAAAAAAGGGAAACCTGAAGACGTCTTCAGAGCGGTGGAATTCATTAACAACAGAAAACCCCCTGGGCTGTGGGCACAGCATTCTATTTCTCAGGCTGTGAAGTGAACACGAACAAAGGTTTCTTTTCCCACGAGAGAATAACTTTTAGAGCAAATGGGGAAGACCATTAAAGAACCTGATATTTTCGTGTACATTTCATTCACAGGCTTTTGCAAACCAAGTTCCCAGGAACAACTCCACTCGCAGCCATGCCTCGATTTGCTCAACCGACTTACATCACAGTTTTCAAAGGATTCACAAAGTACAGTATACTCTCAAAGTTATTCCTTGAAAGCAAAACACAGCCACCTTTTAAAACACGCACAAACGTGATCCACGGCCCGAAGACCTCAAAAGTCTTGACCGAATAACCAACACCTGGGGAGGAAGAAAGCAACCTGGTAGCCCGACCCCGGGCGTGAGCAGCTGCCGCTGAAGCGCTGAAGGACACGCGGGGCTTTGCTCCCCGGGCAGGCGGGCAGGCGCCGGGCGACTCAGGCCAGGCCTGGGGACAGCCGGAGGGCTTGCAGTCGCGGGCACCGGCTTTGTGGCCATTAAGAAACGCGAGGAGGTGAGAAGCGGCCGAGACGCGAAACGAGAAAAGCGCCCTCAAGTTTGCCCGATATTAACGCCTCGAGGATGAAAAGGGCCGTTTGTTTCATCGGCGGACCGTCGTGTCGGGCCGCCCCCCGCCCGGGACTCGCGGCGGAGCTCCGCGAAGGAAGCCGCCGGGAGGTTCGGAGCCGGCTTCCCCCCGGCTAGCGGCCGCCCGGCCCGCCCCGCCTGGCCCCAGGACCTCACCTGCCCGGCCGGCCCCCGAGGCGCGGGCGGGCGGCGGGGAGCGCAGCCGCAGCCAGAGGTGCAGCGCGGCCCCGAGCACACACGGGCACAGCAGCACCAGCCAGTTTCGCATTGGCCGCCCCCGCCGGCTCCACCGCGCACCCCCGCCGCGCTCCGGGTTCTCCCGCGTCCCGGGAGGGAACCTGCAAGTAGGGAGGCCGAGTGCCGACGGCCGACTCCCGCGCTACGACTCCGGGGACGCCCGCCCTCGCGCCCGACGCCGTCCAGGTTCCTCTCGGCTTCGGGCCCCGCGCCTCAGCTTCCTGAGACCACCAGCGGCAGCGGCTCAGCCGGGCGGAGCCCCGCCCCCTCCGCTTGGCCTCCCCCTGGCCCCGCCCACCTTTTCTTTCGTTCGCCCCGCCCCCTTCCCTCGCGTCCCCGCCCGCTCTCGTCGGCCAGCCGGGAGCTGAAGTCCCGCTCTGGGATCAAGCCGGGAGTGCCCCAGTGATCCAGTGACTGGAAAACCACACTTCCCATAACCCCACGCACTCGCCTCCGTCACTCGGCGGTTGCGGAGGCAGAGCGCGAGGCCCCACACGGAGCATGCGCAACCCTTTTCGACGTCTACCGCCCCCCGGCGGCCGAAGGGAGGTAGTGCCGGGCGACCCCGCGCTTCGGGGCCGCCCCCACCCGGGAGGGAAACACAGCTGAGGTGGAAAGTGCTGATTGCCCAAGATTGAAAGGGAGATCTAAGGGAAGGCTTTTTAAAATCACGCAGGAGCTTCCTTATGCCGAATGCTAGCCTTGTGTGGGAGATAGGATCTTGCGGACGCCGGAGATCGGGGCGAAGCAGCCTAGTTGCCTTCAGCTGTGAATCGTCGAGTATTAGTTCTGGTGCAGTGTGTACCCGGCTCTTTGCCCGGTCCTATCCTCTAGGAACTCAGGATGAGTAAGACCACGCCCAGGGGATCAAGCTGTGGAGTACGACAGCGACGGTCCAATCTAGGGTAAAATTTCACGTGCCCGGGTGTCCAACTAGCGCTGGAAAGTTACGAGTAGAACGAGGCGCACACACACCTGCCACAGGACGTGAGTCGGGAGGGCCGAGAGGACGCGGGCTCCGAAGCACCTGTGGGCAGGACCCCTGCAGCGCTCCTTAAGGATAAAGTACTGCCCACTGGCCCGAGGACTTGACCCCTCGGACCCGCCCGCGGCCAAACGCACGAGTGCCCTGGTTGAGGCCGTGTGGGTGAAGGGGCGAGACGGTCAAGGTACCGATGTTAAGACGACGGAGGAGAGGAGGAAAATGAGCGCCTGGCTTGTGGTGTTCCGTTTATTTGTTTTTTAAGTTTTCCCAAATTGTGGAAACAGAAGTTAACTATATTGTTGGGGAAAGTCTTGGTTGAAAGCCACGGAAAATCCACTTCAAACAGGCTTAAGGAAAAAAGGGTAATTGATTCAAAGTCACTGAACAGTCCAGGAGGAGACGTCTTAGGCACCGTCAGTACCATAGTCTCCTTGAGTGGCAATTTAATTTCAGCAGAAATTAAAATTACTTTTTATTTGATGTTTTGTAATATGGCCTGTATTATATTTAATTTTAAAATTTCTTATAATAGTTGTATAAAAGCTATAAGCCTAAAGAGTTTATACTGTATGTTTGTACTGTTCAAGTAAAATAATAAAAATAATTTAATTAATATGGGGTCAGAAGTAATTTTTTCCCTTTAAAGGGATCTGTATATTCATTGGTTATCTATTGCTACCTAACAAATTACTCCCAAACTCTTAAAACGACAATAATCATTTATTATGTCTCACAATTTCTGTGGGCCAGGAACTGGAGGGCTAAATTTTTGTTCAGGGTCTCCCATAAAGTTGCCGGCAGATGTCAGCTGGGGCTGTGGTCATCTGAAGTCTTGACTGGTGCTGGAGAATCCACTTCCTAGGTGGCTCACTTCCATGGCCGGCAAGTTGGTACTGCCTTTCCGCCTCTTTAAGTTCCTCTCTAAGTAGCTCTCTCCAGTGAGCTGCTTTATTATTTTTAAAAATATTATTTATTTATTTTGGCTGCAGCATGCAGGTCTTAGTTGCAGCATGTGGGATCTTTAGTTGTGGCATTCGGGCTTCTTAGTTGCAGCATGTGAACTCTGAGATGCAACATGCATGCAGGATCTAGTTCCCCGACCAGGGATCCCCTGCATTGGCAGCTTCCCCACTGGACCACTAGGGAAGTCCCTCCAATGAGCTGCTTTAGAGTCCCCACACCACAGCGACTTGCTTCCCCGAGAGTTGGAGACCCAAGAGACCGGTGGAGATGGTGCAATGCCTTTTATGATGAATGCTTGGAAGACACACACTGTCACTTCTGCAGTCAACACAGACTAGCCCTGATTCACTGTGGGAGGGACCACAGAAGGTTGTGAATACCAGGAGGCAAGGGTGATTGGGGGTCATCTCATAGGCAGCTGGCGGCTGTCGCAGTATATTATACAAATATGAGAAACAATACTGTTTGTAAACAGTTTTGGGAGTCTTCAGGGCCCCTAGTATTCTCCATGGCCCCTGAATACCCTGAAGACAACAAAGAACAATTTGTCCTTCTTGTGGGAAACATGGAATTAGTAGGCTGTGATCTTTGTGGCTCCTGAGCAAATGTCCCCAAGATCCGTGCACCCTTTTCCCAGAATGTTTACATATTGCAATAAGGAAGGAGAATACATAATGTCTACAAATTCCCTGTTAGAAGTTCTTCTTTGTTTAGAAACTATGCTAACCTGCTTTCTACATTTCAAGTAAAGAAATTGTCAAGAAAGTAATAATTGGTTGTCACTAAGGGTGTCCTGTTTTTTATCCTCAAGAAGAGTATTAAAATGCCTCTCTTGAAATCCTAAAATTTTCATTTTGTGATTAAAGGTTTATAACGAGTTAACCCCAAAAGAGGAATAATCCCCAATTTAGGCAGATCTATTAATTCATCAGATACTTATGGAGCTCCTATTATGTGCCAGGCATTTTTGTAGGTGCTTGGGATAAACTGATGAACAAAACAAAGGTCCTTGTCCTGTGATGGTGGCAGCAGGGGCAGACTGTAGACTACAGATATAATAAAGAAATACATTTTACTGGCACACGGAAGATGGTAATTGCTATAGAAAATATGAAAAGTAGAGCAGGGTACGGGAATTGGGAATGTGGGACTGAAATGGGGCAGGTAACAGTATTAAATAGTAGTATTTAAACAACTGTTCAGAATTACAAGGAGCACTAAAGGGAGGAATAAACAAAACCATCCTAATATATTAACTAATCACAATGTTCCTTCCAGTTACCAAGATGATTTAACCTGTGAAGGAAACTTCACTGGCACCTGACAGGCCTTTTTAGCATCTTCATCTCTCACCACAGTGGGAGCTGCCTGTATCAACTGTTGATAGGATCAGCAGTCATCATTCCACCTACTTGCTATCTCCTACCACCTGAAAAACTTTAGTGGGTAAAGATGTAAGAGAGACAATCCGTATAATGGAAAGAATAAAAAATTTAAAACCCAGAGACAATGTAAACAGTCTGTGGAGTGAACAAGTTAACAGAGAATTAGAATTCGGGAGAGGCAGACCAAGGATGGTTGGTCACTCTGATTGCAATTAAGTGTGGGAAGGGCTATGAGAAAGGAATCATAGAGAATGATGGCAGCACAAATGAGGAGTTATCTGACCCACCCCACGGAGTGGCTGTGGGATTGAAATAAAAGGGACCAGAGGGTGGGAAGGGCATTCAAGAGCACCCTAGGCAAAAATAAATAAATAATAAAGACAACCCCGAGACAGTGATGACATGGGAATTAGGGAAATGCAAGCAGTCTGGTAGGACCTTAAGAAAGTTAGGACTGGGGAATGGTGAGAAGGTGATCATCATATGCTGTGCTAAGGAATTTAGATTTTATCCTGCAGGCTCTGAGGAGGATTTTTTTTTTTTCTGACTACAAAAGTAATACATAATTATAAACAGGAATTTGGAAAATTCAGAAGAATATAAAGAAGAAATTAAATCACACCAAATACCAATCATATATTGCTTTTTTCCATTTAAAAATATTGGCAATCATACTGTAAATACAAATTTATATCCATTTATTTTCACCTAACATAGAAATAAGCATTTTCGCATTTAATTAGTAGTCTTAGAAAATATAACTGTACAATCATTTGTTCACACTGTAATTTCTTACCTGTTCTCCTCTTATTGGATGTATAAGTTGTTTCCATTTTTCTACTATAATAAATAATACTGGCACTTCTGTGCATAATACTTTACTCCCATTTCAGACGATTTCCTTTTTTTTTTTTTTGCGGTACGCGGGCCTCTCACTGCCGCGGCCTCCCCCGTTGCGGAGCACAGGCTCCGGACGCGCAGGCTCAGCAGCCATGGCTCACGGGCCCAGCCGCTCCACGGCATGTGGGGTCTTCCCGGACCGGGGCACGAACCCGTGTCCCCTGCATCGGCAGGTGGACTCTCAGCCACTGCGCCACCACGGAAGCCCTGATTTCCTTTTTAAATATTCTTCTAAGGCTCTTTGTACATACTGGCATTGTATCAATGTGTATGTCTGCCTTTAACATTTCTATCTCATCCTACCTACCTTAGCACTTAAAAAAAATTCTTTTCTAATTCAAGGGGCGAAACGTTTTTTCATTAGTGAAATTAAATATTTTTATGTTTCTTAGGTGCTTCTGTTTCTTCTTCTGTAAATTACCTGTGTATTTTGCCTCTTACCTATTTGTAAGAGCCCTTTATATATTAAGGATATTAATCCATTATATTTGTGGAAAATATTTTCCCCATTTTTCTTGTCTTTTAATTTTATGACTTTTTGGACATAAAACATTTAAAATCTTTATGAATTCAAATAACCAATATTTCATTTTTCCCATATTTTAGGATATTTCTAACCATGAGATCTGATCAATATAGGCATATCTCAGAGATGTTGTGGTTGCTGTTACAGACGACTGCAGCAAATCAAATATCGCAATAAAGCGAGTCCTACGAATTTTTTTGTTTCCCAGTGCATAAAAAAGTTATGTTTACACTATACTGTAGCCTGTTAAGTGTGCAATAGCGTTATCTCTAAAAAAAAATATTCATTCCTTAATTAAAAAATACTTTGTTGCTAAAAAATGCTAACCATCATCTGACAACTCAGGGTTTGGATAAATACCCAGAAGTGGCATTGCCGGATCATATGATAGTTCTATTTTTAATTTTTTGAGGAACCTCTATACCGTTTTCCATAGTGGCTGCATCAATTTACATTCTCACCAACAGTGCAAAAGGGTTCCCTTTTCTCCACGTCCTTGCCAACCA